CTTGATTACTTTCCCCAATCGATCCTTTCAGAAGGTCCAAGTTGGACGTATTGAACTTCAGAGTTCTCAAAAGGAAGGCCTCACCATAAATACAACTGCCATTATATGGAATCACAAATTTAAGCAGGCAAGTTAGAGAAATCAACTAAAACATGGGGAGATTTTCTCAATTTCTGGAATATTCATGGGGATAATTTCTTTAACTCATATTACAGTGGTTCCAAGCTCATCTGATATCTTCTTAAAGATGTTAAAACACTTTTATATCCTGGAAAAAAGAAGAAGTTCTCAATTCTACATCATACTTACAGATTGTAGGGAAGGAGAGCTCTGCTCACTGGGGTTATGGACCTTCTGAGTTCCATGGCTTCTTAAGAGAATAGTGAGGTGGAAAATTCACCTTTTGAAATTTAACACTGAAGGGAGGATTTACCTTTCTTTTTTAAAAAAAATATTTAAAAATGCAGTTACATTAATACAAACAAGTAAAGGAAAGATTTTATCTTGAGACATGTGAAAAAAAGAAAGAAAGAAAAAGAAAGAAAGAAAGAAGGAAGGAAGGAAGGAAGGAAGGAAGGAAGGAAGGAAGGAAGGAAGGAAGGAAGGAAGGATGATAGATAGATAAGCAGGCAGGCAGACTTTCCCATTTTGTTTATCTGACTTTTCAGTCAATGTTTGAATCAGGTGAGAGACAAAGAATGAAAAAGGTCACACACCTATTTTCCAATTCATGCTAATATAAACTCCGCATTTCCCTGGAGTTTTACAGGAAATATTTCTCTTGCCAAATTCATGTTTTGTTTCCCAAAGCCAATTCAAAACACTGAGGACAGCTGCTGGCCTTTCAGAAGTTTAGTGGGTTTTTCAAGTGATGTGCTTTGAAAAATATAGTAAATTTATTTTTTCAGAGAACTGATTAACTTTTCAGCAGACACAAGTGCTTGTGTAGTTTGAAATACAGGCAAGATTGGACTATTGTGTTATCCCATTTTATTGTTGATCACAAAATGCTACAGACAGAATGTGGAAATATACCAAAGCTGGACAATAACCAAGTCCTGTGCTTTCCACACCTGTATCAGTCTCCTAATTGGCAGGTGGTTTTTTGATAACTGAGTATGCTCACAAAACTGGACAATCTGTACATGGAAAACCAGGATACCACTCTTGAGATGTGATGCAGGGATAATTGGACAAGGATAGCAAAAGCTAGATAGGAATATTTTTGCCATCAGTTCAGCAGTTTCAACACTATTTCCCACACATTGCAAGTTTATTTTGGATTTTCTTATTACTATTTAAATTTAAAGCAGCTGATTAAGATTATGAGAAACATACACTTTTATGATCCTCTTTAGGACATCTCAAGTTTCTTTATGTGCTGTGTAGGGGTCATGAAGGGATTTTTACTCAAATGTTCAATAGCAGTTCCAAGATTTTTTGGATGTTAACTGCTCCTCTGAGTGAATCTAGCGATCACTCCTAGAAATTCCAAATTTTGCATTATTAGAAATGACAAGAGAGGATGACTGCTGACTGATTAATTCAAACCTTGATTGTAATCCATTTTAATTCCTTACTCTTGCAATTCCCATTAGACACCACCTTCTGCCACCTGTGTAGAAAGCTGCCATCCTGGACACCGGAAATTAATTAAGGAGGGGAAACAGGTTTGCTGCTATGACTGTGTTGAGTGTTCAGAGGGCAGCATTTCCAGCATGATTGGTAAGAAAAAAAAATCTATATTTCTTTAAAAATACATTGTACTCTAACCAAGTTTGGGTTTTTGAATATAGTTTTAAAGAAAAGCATAGTAGGATGACTTGGGGCATGGCACAAAGGGAACTCATTCAGATAATAAGTATTGGTCGCTTTATTAGCTCCAACTTTGCCCCCAATGTCCTGATTGCTTTCTGGTCTGGAGAAAAACTCTCCCACCAACCTACAACAGCCTTTGGCTGCAAATAGTCCAATCCAAACTTTGTAAAGAGAAAACTTTAAACTATAAATCCAACAAGGCTAGATAGGATAAGAAATCCAGCAATGTAAGATAAGGAGTTCCAGAAGTGAAGCAACACGGCAGTAAATCAAACCAGTTGAGAGGATGCCAAGAACTCAGACTACAACAGCCAACACTAGATAATCTCAATATTTGTTCCTGACACCCCCCCCCCCCATCTGCCTCTCCTTTAAACTCCATCCCCAGATTTGCCTTGTGAAAGGAATCAGGGCCCTTTCCTCCCCCATAAGCCATCCAACTCACATTGCTCCCTTCTCCATTCTTCCCTGCATACTCTAGGATGAAGAAGGGGTGGGCCTTGGTCTTCCTTTGAACTGCCTCTCCCTTGTCCTACCTCTCCTCTGCTCTGCCCAGCCTGATTTTGCCCTTCCCCAGTTTCCTGCACAGCCAACCAAGCCACTTTCCTGCTCTCTGCAAACTACTCGCTTTCCACCTCAGATTCAAACTCAGATGGGACCATGAAACATAGCTTGATTGGGATCTCTCACTAGCCTTGTTCTCTTTCTCCTGTTTTAAGTAAAAACTTTTCTTTATTTAATTATATAATCTTTCATTCAGGAAACATGGTCTACTGAATACAAAAATATTTTTAAAGGATTTTTTTAAAGCAAAATTTTTAAAAGAGGTTTATCCTCCAAAAAACAGCTTCAGGAAAGCCTAATTATTAAATATTTAATTCAATTCAATATGTAGCATTTTTAGATTTTTTTTATAGATTCCAACCAATGTGAGAGGTGTCCGCAAGAACAATATCCAAATGAGAAACACCATCAATGTATTCCCAAAATTATCACCTATTTATCCTACAAAGAAGTCCTGGGAGAAGTCCTGACTGGCTTTGCTGTTTCTTTTGCTGTAATCACAATTGTGGTGATGGGGACATTCATCTTCCACCAGAACACTCCCATCGTCAAAGCCAACAATTGGGCTATCACCTGCACCCTGCTTTTCTCACTCCTGCTGTGTTTTCTTTGCTCCTTCCTCTTCCTCGGATGTCCAGGGACAGTAACGTGTGTGCTCCGGCAAGCAGTTTTTGGAGTGGTCTTCTCCATTGCGGTGGCTTGTGTGTTAGCTAAGACCCTCACTGTGGTTCTGGCCTTCCTGGCCACAAAGCCAGGGAACCGCATGAGGGGGTGGGTAGGGAAAAGGCTCTCCATCTCAGTCATTGTTTTGTGCTCCCTTATTCAAACAAGCATCTGTGCTGTGTGGTTGGCCATTTCTCCCCCTTTCCCAGAGTTGGACATGCATTCCCAGATGGATGAGATCTTTGTGCAATGCAACGAAGGCTCCGAGATCATGTTTTATATTGTGCTGGGCTACATGTGGCTTCTTGCCCTTATCAGCTTTACGGTGGCCTTCTTTGCCCGGAAGTTGCCCGACACTTTCAATGAAGCCAAGCTCATCACCTTCAGCATGCTGGTCTTCTGCAGTGTTTGGGTGTCCTTTGTTCCCACCTACTTGAGCACTAAGGGGAAATCCATGGTGGCTGTGGAAGTCTTCTCTATCTTGGCCTCAAGTGGTGGTTTATTAGGTTGCATTTTCCTGCCCAAGTGCTACATCATCATGTTGAGGCCAGAGCTGAATACGAGAGAGCAGCTTGTTCGGAAAAAGACTAGTGTGATTTCTAGGACAGCATGAATTCCTATGATTTGGGTGAAAATTTTCTGAATTCTGAATTTTATTGAGAAATAATTGTCTTCTTCAACTTGTTAATTGCAAAAGAATTTAAACTGCATACAACTGCATAGCACTTTGCAGCACTCTCGGCAATTTACAATATAAGCATTATTTGCATATTGCCCCAATGATCTTGATCAATTCTTCCATTCTTGGAAGAATGGAAAGTTGAGTCACCCTTGAGCTCCATCAGGACTGAAGTTCAAGCTGTAGGCAGAATTTGCATGTAAATTTACACACAATAGCAAGGAAAAGGATTGCACACGCAACTTTTTCTCCATGAAGACTTCTTTGTCTTTGACCAATAAATTACATTTAGAAACATAATGGATGGGATGTACAAAATTAGTCTTATTTATTATATAAGATTGTATCTTCTTTACATTTTACAATAAAATGCTAATATGATTTACAGTATGTATTTATTGGTATCCTTTTCCCAACTCAATTACTTTTTAATATATTTTACATTTCAGGAGATATATTCAAAATTTGTGGCAACCTCAAGAGCCTCAGAAAGTTACCATCTGCTGTAAAGACGATGAGCCAGGCTTCCCAAAACCCTAATGAATTCTGGCTCCTCTCATTTCTTCAACTTAAACGGGTGATGGTGACCAAGGCTCAGTCTCTCCAAACTGTATTTACCAATGCAATTTTGTTGATTCTAAAGAAATTACATCATAATTGTAATTGTAAAGAAATTCATCAAGATTAAATTAAGCAATGGAGGCCCTGGGAAAGTAGGTGGTGCCTGACTCAATAGATCTAATTGTGACAAGATTCTGGGAGTCCTGGTTTACAAGTAGTTAAATAAAAGCCAGCAGTGTGTTATAGTCCCCCCAAAAGCCAACATAGTTCTAGGCTGCATTAATAGAGGGATAGAATCAAGATCACAGGAATGTTAGTGACTCTTTATAATAATGCTTTTTTAAGACCACACCGGGAATATTGCATCCATATTTGATCACCAAGATATAAAAAAGAGGTTGAGTGCAGAGAAGAGCAACAAAGATGATGAGGAGACTACAGGATAAAACGTATAAGAAAGAATTGTTGCAGGAATTTGATAAGTCTCATTTACATGAAGTGGGTATATCTAGTCTAATGAAAAGAAGGACTAGGGAAGACATGATAGCGGGGTTCCAATGTCTCAGGGATTGCCACAAAAAAGAGGGAGTCAACTAATAAGTTGACTCCAAAGCACCTGAAGGTAGGACAAAAAGCCACGGATGGAAACTAATCAAGGAGAGAGGCAACCTAGAACTATTAAGAAATTTCCTGAAAGTTAAAGCTAGAAGACCTCCAAAGTCATTTTCACCTCTCTTGTTCTGTCATTTTCTGTTGTGTTTTTATTTCTATGTTTCTGGTACTTTATGAATAAAAAATACAAGTATGATTCTTTTTTAAAAAAATAGATTTTTATTATACTTTCCAGAAAAACAAATCTCATATATAGTTTTTGACAATGGTTTGGCATAGATGAATATATAGTTTATACACTGCTCTGCTCAAAAAATTAAAGGGAATAGGAAAATAAGACATCCTAGATCCGAATGAATGAAATATTCTTATTAAATACTTTGTTCATTAATGTGTTCATGAATGTGCTGACAACAAAAATCACACAAAAATTATCAATGGAAATCAAATTTAGCAACCCATGGAGGTCTGGATTTGGAGTTAAACTTAAAATTAAAGTGGAAAAAAACACTACAGGTTTATCCAACTTTGATGTAATGTCCTTAAAACAAGTCAAAATGAGGCTCAGTAGTGTGTGTGGCCTCCATGTGCCTGCATGACCTCCCTACAACACCTGGGCATGCTCCTGATGAGATGGCGGATGATCTCCTGAGGGATCTCCTCCCACACCTGGACTAAAGCATCCCCCAACTCCTGGACAGTCTGTGGTGTAACCACGCATTGGTGGATGGAGTGAGACATGATGTCCTAGATGTGCTCAGTCAGATTCAGGTCTGTGGAACAGGCAGGCCAGTCCATAGCATCAATGCCTTCATCTTTCAGGTTGTATTGGTATATTGTTGCAGTTGAAGCTGAAGTAGTCATTGACTGGTAGGACACTGTAGCAGATAATTTTGTGTACTATGCTTAATCCAACCACAGGCAGCATAGTACAAGGTTGTCTAAGCTCAAAATGGTGATATAGGGTATTCAGTTGTGAGAAGAGGAATGTAATACTTTTCTCATGAAATATTTCTGGATTCACTCAATTGTATTAATGTCTGATACACAGATTTTTTTTTACCAATGTGTAGGACAGAGCATTAGTTTGTCGAGATTTGGTGTTGCCAATTGTTTGACCATTCAGACGCATAATCAAGGTCGCTTTGAAGGACAATAGCATTATTGGTCATGTTGAATAGTTTTACATCATTTGCGTATAGGACGCAGTGGCTTATAAGGTGAATGCAAAGGTCATTTTTATAGAGTCGTGATGGCTAACCTTTCCTCCTTGCATGCCAAAAGCACCCATAAGGCAATTCACACAGGTGGCCTACACCCCTGCACATGCATGTGTGACCCCCTGTGCACTTTGCACATTTCTGTGTATTCATGCGTTTCCTGCATACTCCCCACTTCCTGCACGTGCACGGCAGCTACCTGATGATCAGCAGTGGACCTGCTCTGGAGCGATGGCTTGTGTACCATCAGAGGTAGCTCTGCATGCCACTTCCAACACTTGTGCCATAGGTTCACCATCACGGATATAGAGTATAAAGAATGTGGGTCCTAGAACGCTGCCTTGGGGGCCACCACTTTTAACTAGAGCAGAGTTTGTTATAGCGCTCCCTATTTTTACTATTTCTTGTTTGTTTGACAGGAAAGCAGTAATCCACTTAGGAAGGGATAAAAAAAATGCCACAAGAGTTTAATGTTAACAATAGTTTGTCATGTACCACTAAATCAAAGGCTTTGCAGAAGTCTATGTAAATTATTTCAATTATTTCCCTGGTCAAGTAGAGTAGTCCATATGTTTTTGCAGTATAGGAGTTGTAGATTGCAGGACAATTTTTTTCCTGAAACCAAATTGTTTTTTTGGAGAGTGATTGTTTGACTCAAATGAAGGGTAATGGATTGGTTAATGATTGATTCCAAGACTTTGTACATGACACAACACAGTGAGATTGGTCTATAGTTATCAGCCAGGCTGGGGTCACTATTTTGAAGATAGGGATGACTGTTGCTAAGGATCTTAGGTTCAGTAAGGAGCTGGTTCTGAATGATATCTCATATATAATGTTTGGGGTTCTGCTGTGGCAGAGGAGAGTTTTTTTTAAGAAATATGCATACAATCTATTGGGGCCAAAAGATTGGGATGGTTTTAGGTTACGTAGGGACTTTTCTAAGTTATTTTCTGTAAAGTCAATATGTAGTAGATCATTATAGTTAGTTGTGGTACAACTAGGAAATATGGAGCATGGGCCATTGCTGTTTACAAAGGCTGAACTGAAGAATGTGTTGAAGAGGTTGGCCTTAACAGCTTCATCATTACAATCTTTCCCATTTGGTCCTTTTAGGGGTAAGATGGTTCTTGAATGTTTAAGTTTGGTGTTTACAAAATTGTAGAAGGCGCAGGTGGATTTTGTACATAGGAGATTTTCTCTTGCTTGCAGTGGTAATTGGTACATTCTTTATCTGTCTGCATAAGGTGTGGTATAGGTTTTTAAAGTTTGCTATGTAGCTAATTTTGTTTTTATGCCATAGCGACTTTTTTTGATTCAAGTTTCCTTATTGTTGTGGGTAATTTGTTTTTGATATGCTACAAATGATCTAAGACAGTTCCATTAATGAACTCAAGTCACATGTGGCCAAGATATATATTGAATCATGATAAGATGGACCTGGAGATACATAATGTGCCCTTCATTGCTTAAGAATGTCCAGGGTGAGACCAGAAAGATTCTGTTCTTGAAAACTCACATATAGGCATGAATGAGCTTTTTACAAAAGGCAATTGGATTTTCTTGCTTTTTTTTTTCTTTGAAAACATTTTGATTCCCACCCAAGAAACTTCTTGGATGAAAAGAGAAGTGTTTTCTTTAAAAAAAAATTTTTTTTAGTAAGTTTTCAAATTAAAAAAAAAAAAAACCATATATTGTTATCAATATCAAGACATCTTTTTTTGTACCTCCTTACATTTTTCAGTATATGTATTTACTTACTCCTTTACCATTACATCTTACTTTTACTATAATCAATATCTTTTATCCTCACACATCAATCTTCTCTATGGTACATTTACATATTTACATATTCCCTCATTCTTTTCCTAATTGCCATTTTATTTTCTTTTTATTTCAAAACCATTCATACCAGGCATACCAAGGCCTATAGTAAATTCAATCTTCTCTTGTCTTTTATTTTCATCGTTAGCCTGTCCATCTCTATACAATCTATTATTTTTTTTATAACCATGCCCTCTGGTGGAACCCCTTTTTCTTTCCAGAGTTGTGCATACAAAATCCTTTCAGATGTTAATATGTGTAACATGATATATCTATCAGTTTTATTGCATTTTTGTGTTATTATACCTAATAAAAAAATTTCCGGATTAAATTCAATTTTCTGATTCATGATTTCTTCTAGCCATTGTCTAATTGTATTCCAGTGTTTTTTCATCTCCTGGCATGTCCACTAAGTATGAAAATAAGTGCCTTTATCTTTTCCACATTTCCAACAGTTTGGGTCTGAGTTAAACATTTTTGTCAGTTTAGCGGGAGGAAGGTGCCATCTGTAGAACATTTTATATTGATTTTCCCTGTATGCTGTAGCGGTAATTAATTTGTAATTTAATCCCCACATTCTCTGCCAATTTTCCAGGTTTACATTATGGCCAGCGTTTTTTGCCCATACCACCACCGTCTCTTTGACCACCTCCTCTTCCATTTTAAAATCTAGTAGAAAATGATATATTCTTGAGATCATTTTCTTTTCCATTTCTT